CCATCATGAGTGACTTTATAATAATAATAGGTCAATTGAAAAGTAATAAAATTTATTTTATTTGTAAAACTGTGTAATTCATACTACATACATTCTGTCTACCACACCCACAACTTCTGATACTTCAGGTACTCTTAAGAATTTGCAACATTAAATACTACAATATTGTAAGTTGCAACCACAACTGGACTGCTCCAAATATGCAAAATATGTGATTTTACACAAAAGTGCACTTTTATATCACTTTTAATAGGTGAAAACGCGCATATTTGTCCAGTTTGGTAAGAAATGCGCAATAATTTCTTAAATCCATAATAGTGTGTCAGTAGCCCTGATCTCTGATGTTTAAGTTTTGTTAGCTCCGAAGGTTCCTTAGGTAACTAGAAATTCAAGTTACATAAACATTTCCGGTTTATATCTTCAATTCTCAGAGACTATCGTGGATTATCTTTAGTTCTCGACTGCGCCATTGTCGCGAACCGATGTAATTCTTAAAATCCTGTTCCATCACACGACACTGTACTACACAAGCGATATAACGCGAGGGGGACGACTCTATCTACGATGCAGGAACGATTTTGTTTTGGTGTGGTTAGCTGCGTGCACGCTGAATAGATAGAAAGAAGATTGATGACGATTCATTGCCTACAACATCTTTTATTAGACTGACTCAACCGAACCATGTAGGTACAAGGAGAAGTATTCAAGCCAGAGCCTCGATGATCAATCGCCCCAAAAACTGTTTTGAGTCCGCTCAAAACATGGGGGAACAGACGTTTAGATAGGCTCCTTAAAGAGGAGTCCCACTTTCCCTGTCAGCATACCACCAAGGTCCCACCGGGGTTGGGTACCCAATCTTTCCTATGGTTACCCCAGCGGGCACCAAGGGTGCAGTTACTGGACAAGAAGCTAAGGACCAAATTGGGCTCTATTTTACCAGCCGTGTACCAGCCAAATTGTATCTTTTGAACGAAGCATTTTAGAGACTTGGTTTCAAAGTTTTCATTGAGATTACGTTGAATAAAGTTGCTGAAGACTCCGAAACCGTCAGGGCTATTTATTTTTTTTTTTCGTGTGGTGCTAATATCTCAGTTTTAGTGGAAGAGAATCTAATTAAATCACAACCGAGAAACATTGAGCTATCGCAAATAATTTGCACAATGATTTATATTATTACAACCGGGTACTGTACCCAAATCGTTCTTTTCTTCCATAAAATTCCTGTCTCCTTCTGTGATGCTGCTGCGGCGGTGGCTATACAATTATAGGTTTCCAACCATTTTCCCATTCAGTGGTTCCGTTTCGGTATTTATAGCTTTCCGTCTATGATGGTTAAGTTCAGAGAACTACAGTGTCATACCATCACAACCGACGACTACTGGCTGCTGACTGGCTATGGCACTATGGGTCATCCGTGGTCAAAGGTAGACAAAAGACACCCGACCTCGACTAGACAACAGAAATGCCAAGAATGACCCATTGCGATGGGTAGTGGGAGGCATACAAAGCAGACGCACAAGCTGCCATCATCGTTAGCATCTCATTGTCGTCGCTTAGCAAATTCGAAACTGGACCAAACTCGGTCGGAAGCCTTCGTGGAATGAGAAGCAAGAAATGATGCTATTCGAAGAAAATTTTATTTTTGTTTGGAATTCCGAACATGCTTATGAATAAATAATTGAAAATTTCATGGAGGATGGAATATAGCGTACATGCTGCTTCTATCAACATTATACCACCATTACACATACCATTAAGGTTTGGATCCAAAATTCCCAATGCCAACCAAATCTTGCAATTCATCTCAAGCCTATAAAACCCCAACAACCACTGATAAGCAAAACTTTTCCAAACTCCTAATGAAGAATGTTCCCCCATTGAGCCGTTCAACAGCGCGAATCCTTTTCATTTCACGCGCCCATGAAAGTAAAACAATTTCCACCGAATTTCCCTCGCCCAATACACGGCCAAACCCAGCCCATCCTGCTTCTAATAAGTTTCCGCGCTGGCAACTTTTTGTCGATGGTAAAAAATAAAATTTTAATCAAAACTCTGGCCGGCGCAAACTACTACATAATATAAACACAAGAACACGCGAAGCCAACCGAGAGAAGCGCAGAAAAAGGGAAAACTTTTTATCGCCAATCAATCTTTCGACAGCCCTGTGCTCGAGAGCTACGGGTGGACGGACGGTACGAAACCGAGGTACTGTCTGATGGAGATGAACCGGAGCTGATGATGATCTTCGCCGTCGACGATGGTCCAGTCCAGTCAAAGTTCTCCATCTTCGATATAGCTAACACGTCGAATGACTGACTACCGACTGTTGGAAGGTGCTGGCTGCTCTTTCATCTGTGGTGCAAAATTTACGACCATCTCTCCACCAATGCAATGGATGGCTGCGAAGAGTGAAGAACTTTCTTCATCTTCTGGCACGAGGCAAGTCATTTTGCAGCTTATAAAATGTGCTGCTATATGTCGCATTCCCTACCACGATGGAAGGATGGGTGCTCCTTCTATCCTTTGCCATGTGGAGGTCCCAGAATGCAACGATGGATGCCGAGGAGTGCAATTCGGGTAAAACCAAGATACATATCTATCCTCATCTTAAACTTTGTCCAGAAGAAGGATGATGAACTAATGGGTTGTGACCTTCAACGCATCTTCAGAAAAGGGTAGCTCGGTGGCTCAAATTTTTATCAAAACGATAACTTGTTCCATATTAACTCCATATATAAGCACAAAAAGACCAGCACTAAAGCAAAGACAAACAGAAACAACTCTTTGAAGAACTTTTCCTTCAAACATCATCGTTTTTTTTCATCCAAACATTGACTCCACGAAATTCATGTAACCACTGGCGCGCGCAGCCCTTTTCATTGGGGGGCGCTTCATAGCTTTGAGGGCGCCTATAATTTTGAAGAGTTAATGTTTACTTGCATACATTTTCCTTGAGCTTTCCAGATTTTCACGATTTTCTTTGAAATATTTCGAGGTTTGACGAAAACTTTTAAAAACTGTTGTTTGTTAGACACATATCTTATTAACAATTGAGTTTATAAAGTAATTAATTTAACACTGAGACGAAGTTCTCTGTAAAATAATTCATCAACTGAATTATGTTTTGAACTCCACGTCCAAGTACAAGAGATTTTAGATGCAGCTTTGAAACTTTCAATGCACAAAAAAAAACTACAATGGACAGCCCTATGGGGTTGTACGCAATGGTGACGTATGACTACGTGGTCCTATATAATAAATCTTATTTGTTAACTGCAGCACGAGCTTGTGTTTTGTGTAGGAATAGGAATTTGAGCGGAGTTTTCTCTGTTTATCTTCTTTAGTATGACGCGCTTGACATAGATGGCCCACAGCGACCCGCGAAGAGCTACTGAATCCGATCAATAGCGGTGCGGCTTCTCCCTCTTTCTATGGATGCTCATGTGGGCTGCAGCTCACTGCTTGCGGGGAGACTTTCGTTGTGTACTGGAGAATTCTACCACTCACCACGCAGTGATTGAATAAACACCGTTTGGTGAGACCGGATGGAATTCAGCTTTGAAATCTGTGTTAGGGAAATCCCTTTTCGCAGGCCATCGGTGATAATTTTAATTATTATAGCAACAATTGCACATTCGTGCAATTTTCAATAGTGACATTTTTAAAAATGATAAAGTCTTAAATTTAACAGATGCGTAGAAATATATCTGAACGATTGGTGATAAAATTATTGAAATTGATCCAGGGGCAGCTGAGTTATTAACGTTCAAAATCTGTCATAATTTTGTTACATGTTCCATTTTTGATTTTCCCAAAGTGTACCCCCATATAGAAATCACAGACGTAGTCCTACGTCAAAATTTCAATATTCGTAAGCATTGAAATATTGATAATTTTCGAACACACCAAGATTCCGAGTTTGTTATTAGATATAGAAGTTGAATTTATCTCAGATCACAAATAAAAACCCTTTGGTGGTGTATTCAGATTCACAACCCCAGTACTTTAGTTTAGACTTTAGAAGATCTTCAGAAAACAGAATTTCTTTCAGTACTTTTCCTTCAAACCAAGCTCCAATTCATATGTACCTATTCCATTGAAATCCAATTTCTAATGCTGACAAATATACTCTGCCGTCGTGTACCAATAATGCAGAAAGTCAACTGTCGACAACAAAAGAACCGCAAAGAGTATTTGGTCTGGTCCGGCCACTGCCAACAAACCATCATTCGCTTTTCAATTGCCCATTATTGCCTCCCGTTCACGATGGACATCTAATGCGTAGGCGGATCCACCAACAGTCAAATACTCCTACCCAGAATGTGTACCATCATTTGTTAGAATGTAAGAGCGCGAGGGTGGTGGATAGGGAATTAGGAATTTTCAGTTCAGTTCCTAAAATTCGACCCAAAACCGCAATGCGAATGTGGTTAAACCTGCCGTACCGAAGGGAGTTTTCTATAAAACGGTTCGGTACGTGTTGTACATCAAGAGACGGGACCGGTCACCCGAATAAAAACGTACGTTAATTGGATGTTGTTGCACTCGGGTCTTATAATTCTCAAAGTACACTTGAATCTAATGTTCATTTGATGCTAGACAACATTGCTCATTACTCAATTAAATTTATTATCTATGCGTTCTATTCGGGCAGTCAGGGTGTCAGAAAAGTTTAACGGACCGCATAGAGTAAAGCTATATGCTTGTCGGTCCCTTTGTTGGATTGTTGGAGATCAAGAGTTCAAACTTTCATAATTGATTTTTACACGAACACCATGGAGCTCATGTTCGGTTTCTAAACCACTGGTTCCTTTAGCTGGATGGCCAATCGATTTTGGAACTCCAAAATTCCAACACTGCCTTCAACTCCCCATGCGTCCCCGACGCCAACCTAACCGAAAATTTCCCGCCGGGAAAAATTATCACTTCATGCAAACTCTCTGCGAAGCACCCCCGCCGAAAATTCAAACCCCTAATCGGCCCAGAGATCGTTCACTCACCTGGAAGTCGAAATTTCCATATTCCTCGCCGGTGGTGATATCGGTTGGTGTTTCCTCCAGTGCGGCACACTCGTCCCACTTGGCACTGAAACGGGGTGGATGGCTTAAACCGCCTCCACCGTCGCCACCATCCGGATATCCTCCGGTGTCGGATTCTGGTCCACCGCCACCGCCGAAGCCGCCGGGTGGTCGGTCCTTGTCGTTGCCGTTGATCGAATTGAGATTGTTCCGCAGCCAACTGTGCCAAGATTGATTTGCATGTGGATTGCCACCGGCACTGCCGCCGCCGACACCAACACCACCACTACCGCCGTGATGGGAATCTTGAATGTTGCTTAATCTGGAATAATATTTGGAAGACGAAAAAGGACAGAATGAGAACCATGATTAGCTTTGCCGGGAAGTTTTGCGAAGTGGGTCAATGCAATGCAGATTTTTTATTCCATTCTAAATCGCATTCTTCTGGTATGGTAACGAAGCGAGTGGATTTTGGGAAAGGTCAAGATGTAGATAAACTCTGGAGTTTCTGGGATTAAAAATTTGCTCCGTTGAACGTCGGTAGACGTTATGCAAATTGTTCTTACTGTAGTTAAGAAGCACTGGAAGTGTTTCAGTCTAATTTAGTCGATGTACGTTTTTTTTTTGGTTCTATTCGTAATAATGAAGCAGAACGTATAACATTTGCTTTAATTTCATTTGTGGAATTTGACTACTGCTTGTTTAAATTCTCATTTTTATCACTGTTGAAAGTAGGCAATTAGGGGGAATGTTGGTGTATGGTTCTCTAGAACAAAGCGTCATCTGGACAATACCAATAAACACTTTTGGTTGCTAGCTATGAATTACCAAAAAAATGCTTTCATTCGAAATTTATCGATGGGCCCAATATTAGGGACACTTAGGCTGATTTTTTGGAGTGCATCTAACCCTTCAGTGCAAGCAGGATTGTTTTCAACCAGTAGCATATTTCGTGAGATCTTGTTGCTAGAACACATATGTTGCCAGTGAAATCGTCGTATTAGTTTTCATTAGTTTTCACAATAGCAGGGCAAACACTATCGCGTTTCCAATATCTTCGGTCCAACGCACCTTAAAGATGAGTTTCGGTAAGGACTAAGGAGGCCGGCTTGGTTTGAAAGGTCGTTGAAAATAAATAACCAATTAGTAAAACAGGAGTGTTTATGGCTATTATTCAATTTTGAGAGAAAACTAGTTATTGATTGTTTTCATGGAAATGATGTTGTGAATTTCTATATTGTTCATATACGTTAAATCAAACATATTGTTTATGTTAACCATAAGCCATAAAAGGCTAGTACAAGAGTTAGTGCTCACGTCCCAACCGTCACGGGAAAATAGAGCATCACTTATTCTTTCTTGCCTGGATGCTTTCAACGACCAATCAATCATATAATTTCCAAAAAACGTACAGTCTGTTCCAGTTAGTATTTGGCCGCTTCTTTTGAAGCGCCTCTATTTGGCATAGTAAGAAACTATTGACAGCGTTTTGATCCGGAAAGATTGTTTATTTAGTAGTGAAAATTTCATCTCACGTGCAAAATCCAACGTGCTTAAACGTTCCCGGGAAACACTAACGTTGGATCGTGCAAAATAAAACAAACGTAGAAGTGGAACATATGACCGAAAACTACGAGCGAAGGTCATAAGGGCAATCCAAAAAGAATCCTGGGATCTCCGGTCGTGATTTGGCGAAAAGGTTCAGTGCGGCACACAGTACAGTTCGGCGAATCTGAATGCGAGAAGGTTTCCGGTCGTACCATGCCAGCAAACATCCCAACAGGACGCTGAAACAAAACCTGGTTGCCAAAAACCGTGCAAGGAAGCTGTACGAGCAAGTTCTAACCTAGTATAAATTTTTTTTTCAATGTAGGTCTCTAATGGAATTTTTCCAGTTTTTTTTTTCGATAATTTGGACCATTTCTTAAAAGTCATCATGCAACACATTTTTGTAGGAGTTGTCATTTTTCCATAATATTTTTTTGGAAAAAATCGGCAAAAAAAAGTTTGACCCTTCTCAAAGGTTAGTCTAGATACATTTTGGAAAAACTAAGCATATGCAAAGTGGCCAGAAAGTTTCATTGAAATCTGAGAGGGTGCTGCCAGCTTCGAATACGATTTGGCGCGAAATGCGTCTATAACGGATGTATTTTGATGGACGATGAAACTTACGTAAAAATGGACTTTGGACAAATCCCCGGGCCAAAAAATTTACTTTGCTAATCGTAAGGGGGATGCTCCAGATAAATTCAGATTTGTCTTAGCAGATAAATTCGCTCGCAAGTTGATGATTTGGCAAGGCATCTGCAGTTGCGGAAAGAAAACAAAGGTTTTCATCACTGGAGCGACTATGAATGGACAACTTTACAAGGAGGAGTGTCTCCAGAACATAATGTTGCCGTTCATTCAATCACACGGAGGTCCCGTAAAGTTCTGGCCTGACTTAGCCAGCTGCCATTACAACCACGATGTCATAGTACAGAATTATTTCGATTTTATTGAGAAAAGTATCAATCCACCAAGTTGTCCAGATTAAATTTTGGCAATTATCAAGCGCAAATTGAGGAAATGTGGCAAAACAATCAAAACACCATCTGATTTGGAGAAGTGGTGGAAAAGGATGGTATATGAGGTTGACAGTACTACTGTGCAAGACATGATGACAAAGTTCGAAAATTTATCCGAAAAGCTGACGAATAATTTTTGTTGTATTCTTCCCTTAAAGCGAAGACAACAAATCAAGAAGACTGGCAACTCTTCCATTTTCTCATACGATCGCTGTGAGACAGGTACAGTCAGGAATCCTTATTGCCGGATTCCTTATTGCCGGTATCTCTTATTGCCGGATCCTTATTGCCGGGCTATCCGCGAATAAGGATACCCACAGCTTATGGGATTTTCACTAATGGGGGCTGTAGTGGATTATCTCATTTGTTTCAATACATAAAGCTATACTGTCTTCGACAAAGTTGCTGTACTGGGTTAGACCAAGAAGCCTGTGCCATTGGATTCAGGTTAAATTGGGAACTACGCCGCTAGAGGCGCTTCACTTTTATGTTACTTATGACGGGCGCTATAATATATGGATCATATTTCCAACATAGAATATTTCGTGATCCTGACCATATAGAAAGTTACTGTCTTGAGCAAAGTTGTTCAGGTGATCAAGTCCTTTCGGATGGTGGCCATATTAGTTCAGAACTCTCTCACTACGCAGCGCTAGTGTGCATGTGCAATTCCTATATAAACTGTATCTCGAGAGCCTGGCCATATAGAAAGTTGCTGTTTTCAGCAAAGTTGTGCAGGTGATCAAGTCCTTTTGGATGGTGGCCATATTAGTTCAGAACTCTTTCACTACGCAGCGCTAGTGTGCATGTGCAATTCCTATATAAACTGTATCTCGAGAGCCTGGCCATATAGAAAGTTGCTGTTTTGAGCAAAGTTGTGCAGGTGATCAAGTCCTTTTGGATGGTGGCCATATTAGTTCAAAACACGCTCACTACGCGGCGCTAGTGTGCATGTGCAATTCCTATATAAACTGTATCTCGAGAGCCTGGCCATATAGAAAGTTGCTGTTTTCAGCAAAGTTGTTCAGGTGACTAAGTCCTTTCGGATGATCGTCATATTATTTCAGAACTCTCACACTACGCGGCGCTAGTGTACACATGAACTTCCTTAATATGTAATGTCTCCAAACTTTTCCATATAAGATGTTGCTGTGCAATGTTAGAACAGGAACCGGAAAAGAGATGACGTGTAGAGGCCGGAAATTGATGTCAGATGCCATTTTGGAATCCAAGATGGCGGCCATCGGTTCAAGAAAAACTGTCAAATACCCTACAATATAGATATTTTTGGAAAGGGGACGACGTGTAGAGGCCGGAAATCGATGCCAGACGTCATTTTGGAATCCAAGATGGCGGCCATCGGGTCAAGAAAAACTGTCAAATACCCTATAATACGGGTATTTCCAGAGAGGGAACGACGTGTAGATGCCAGAAATCGATGCCAGACGCCATTTTGGAATCCAAGATGGCGACCATCGTGTCAAGAAAAACTGTCAAATACCCTACCATATGGGTATTTCCAGATAGGACGACGTGTAGAGGCCGAAAATCGATGTCAGACGCCATTTTGGAATCCAAGATGGTTGCCATCGTTTCAAGAAAAACTGTCAAATACCCAACAACATGGGTATTTTCGGATAGGAGATGACGTGTAGAGACCGGAAATCGATGTCAGATGCCATTTTGTAATCCAAGATGGCGACGATAGGTTCAAGAAAAACTGTCAAATACCCTACAATATGGATATTTTTGGAAGGAGACGACGTGTAGAGGCCGGAAATAGATGCCAGACGACATTTTGAGATCCAAGATGGTGGCCATCGGGTCAAGAAAAACTGTCAAATACTCTACAATATGAGTATTTCCGGAAAGAAAACGACGTGTAGAGGCCGGAAATCGATGCCAGATGCCATTTTGAAATCCAGGATGGCGGCCATCAGTTTAAGAAAAACTGTCAAATACACTACAATGTGGGAATTTCCGAAAATGGACGAAATGTAGAGGGCCAGATATAGATTCCAGGACGCTATTTTGGAATCCAATATGGCGGCAACATGTTTTCCATTGTCACCATAGCCAATCGAACTCCAGACGAAACTAGAACCGCACTACCGTTCATACTGGTGACAACGCTCTGATGAGACAACGAAACCTTCCCCCAAGCTCCTCCACTGATCCTATCCTTCGACAATGTACCTCTCTTACCTCGAGTAAGCCGCGAGTATTCGGCCCAACTCCTACTAGACATAGAATTAAGTGAATGTTGTTACAAACAAAGAACAATGAAGTATCGGCTCCGTAAAGCTAACGTGATTGAGCCTTCCAAATAAACGAACTAGTTAAAAAAACATGTTTTCCATATATAAGGCTAACCAAGAATATTGCGTATAATTTATTGTGTATAGCGTATCACTGAGCAAGATCACAACATAACGTGGAAAATTCCTCAAAACAATAAAACGCTTTTAATTGTTTTGTTTTTTCTATCGTAAACTACAGATTTATTCCTGGACCACTCTACAGTGAATATGGTTGATATTTTCATCCACCACCTGGCCTGGTGCGGCAGAAATCGAGTTAAAACTAAATCAACTATCCGAGGTCGAAAGTTTCTACACATTGGACAGCAATGTTGAACGGAGTGCAAAAATGCAAGATTTGCTAAGGGAAGTCGAGACCCATCTCACGGTGTGGAAGAACGAGAGTGACTAGAATGCATAAAACATGACAGCGCTGGTTGGTTCTTTGTTATCGA